TAGGCGCTTTCACCGGGGCTTGTCCTCCTGCCCGCAGCCACACAGCCTGAGGCAGCCCCTGACGGACAGCTCTGAGACCGTGGTGCGATTTCCCCAGCCCAGAAAATGGGTTTTTAAAAGGCAGGCATTTAAATAAGAAAGAATTCTGTTGAAACAGAAATTTGGGATCGCTAGTTGAAGTTTCAGATGTATCAGCCTTCTGATTATCACCCACTATGTCTCACCTGCTGTCCCTGGACAGTGATGTGATGGATAGAACATTCATAGACCTTAGGGCTGTTTTTCTTTCCTTGGTTAGTCACATCTTTTAATAGTCTCATCCTATAATTATACAGCCACCGGAACTGGATGACCCTGAATCACAAAATTAGGTAACGAACCCTCATTCCAGCGTGCAAACACAGCATCACTCTAACTTCAATGCATCGTTCCCCTTCCAAAAAATGTAAAAACCCTGATAATCTCTAAGATGGTTAGAAGATGGTCCTTTTCCCTCTACTCATAAGGACACCACTGGCTGCATCTCCCCGCTGTCCCTTCAGCCGCTGGAGTGTACAGCGAGATTGTGTAGCCCTATTGCTGTAAAACTGTTCCTATATTTCAAAACATGGCACCGGGAACATATGTGAGAGAAGGAGAAAGAAAGGCAGCTGAAAGTCCACAGCCAACAGCTTGTGTCAGAAAGCTGCTACAGGAAGAAACAGTTGGGCATTTTTAATCGCGATGCGGTATCTACAGGATGAATGCCAGCAAACTTGGCTTGCGACTGAAATTGTTTGTGATCTAATCAATTCCTGACAAACCGTCCGAGACCGGGGGGTGGGCTTCAAAGTGCATTGGAACACCTGCCCCTAAAATTTTCTTCCCCGAATGTACACTTTGCCACGGCCTCCTCATACTTATGTCTACCTGTGCCAAAGGCAAACTGAAGGCAAATCGCTAAACTTGCACCTCTACATGGAGGCAAAGTCGCTTAAGAGCACATGTTGTTGAGGGGCAACATGGTGGGCCACTCCGAGGAGGCTGTGGCTGTGTGTCACTGGTGGGGAACATGGCAGGGCTCTCTGAGGTGGCCATGGCTGTGTGTCGCTGAGGGTAGACACTGGCAGGGCTCTCTGAGGCGGCCATGGCTGTGTGTTGCTGAGAGGGGGGCATGTCAGGGTGCCCCAAAGTGGCCATGGTTGTGTGTCGCTGATGGGGGAGGCTGGTAGGGCACTCTGAGGTGGCCATGGCTGTGTGTCGCTGAGAAGGGGGCATGTCAGGGTACCCCAAAGTGGCCATGGCTGTGTGTTGCTGGGCGGAACATAGCAGCACTCTCTGAGGCAGACATCACCATGTACTACTGTCTGAGGCAGCCATGGCTGTGTGTTGCTGAGAGGGGGGCACGTCAGGGTGCAACAAAGTCGCCATGGTTATGTGTTGCTGATAGGGGATGCAGGCAGGGTACTCTGAGGTGGCCATGGCTGTGTGTCGCTGAGAAGGGGGCATGTCAGGGTACCCCAAAGTAGCCATGGCTGTGTGTTGCTGAGAAGGGGGCATGTCAGGGTACCCCAAAGTAGCCATGGCTGTGTGTTGCTGAGAAGGGGGCATGTCAGGGTACCCCAAAGTAGCCATGGCTGTGTGTTGCTGAGAAGGGGGCATGTCAGGGTACCCCAAAGTGGCCATGGCTGTGTGTTGCCGAAGGTGAACACTGCCAGGACTCTCTGAGGCTGCTATGGCTGTGTGCCGCTGAGGGAGGACAGGTTGGGGTACTCTGAGGTGGGCACGGCTGTGCGTTGCCGAGGGTGGACACT